CCCCCCCCCCCCCCCCCCCCCCGGGCAAGATTGAATATTGGGCTTCTATTTTTCCTTTCACCCCGCCCGGCCCTCCAGGAGTTGCCGGTTGGCCTTGTTTTTTCTTGGTTATTTTGGCTCTTCCGATACGGTATTTTTCTGTCCGCACTCCCCACCACGGGGTAGAAATACACGCCTGGGATAGTCCCCGCACACAGAATTGCTTTTGCGCAGGGCGAGTCGATCATTGTGGTTGTTTTGTACGTCAGCAGTAACGCCCGGTGGACGCTTCCTACTAAATACTGCTATGGGGGGGGAACTAACCCATTGCGGTCCTCGAGCGTAGCATGCGGCCTACGTTGCAGCTACCATTCATTCAACAGTCTTGCTGTGTCTTTTTCTCTCTTCTTTTTTTGTGTGGACCAATAGCCCTTTTCGCGACTCTAAGACTTTTTTTATTGCGTCTTGACTTACCTCAATAGTACGCTGCGGCTCTAGAGAGATTTCTTTCACGAACAGGCACGGACTTACGAGAGTGAAAAGGTGGCTTTGTCCCGGCTACATGTATAAGACAATGCATGCGTCATTATTCGTGGTACGGTATTGTGCAAGAGAAAACCGTACTATTCAGTAGGGTGCTCCGTGGCTTGCCCCGATCCTACCTTAAAAATCGCCGCCCCACCACGTTGTGTTAAATTGGTCAAGCACCCTCGAGGCGGTTACACGGTGCTTACAACTCTCTCTGGAAGTTAAAGGACCAGAAAATATATTAAGTCAGACGCAGCTGATCCGTTCGCAAGGAAGTAAGCACAAGATGCCGAACACCCTTAGCAGGATGCAGCGCACCCTTCATGCGACTCGCCGAATACCTCATGGCGCCTCGCGCTTGGTGATGTGAGCCTGGTCCGGTGAGAACCCGGCGTGCTCCGTCTCGGCTTTGTAGGGATGCGAGGTCAATGGTCTAACGACTACCGCGTGCACGACTATGAGTACACCCCCCCCCCACCACCACCACCACTATGTGTCTCTTTGGTGTTCACCAGGAGCAAAAGGCGAAGGAGCGCGCGGAGGCGCTGCTGGCGTCTCAGGACAGCGGAGACGTGGAAGCCGTGCCGCTTGTGGGGGGCACAACGGACGACCTCAAGAGCCGCAATAGCCCTGGCAGGCGGAGTTAACAACGAGGTCTTGCCGCGACAACCTTGGATGGATGTTGAGAGCCTTGTGTCGAGCGCGGGAGCACTAGCTCTCTGCTTGCAGCAGGCACGTGGATGGCGTTGCAGCGTGACCTATCCACATGCGCGGTGTGAGATGAGGCTGATGATAAAAAAAACGATGATAAATTTGTATGGTGGGTAATTAGCGGGTAAGGTTCCCCGGGCGGAGGAAGCGTCGTTTGTGTGTGAACCCGCCGCAGTTTTGGTGACTCGTCAAGTTTGGTGTGGCATTGGTCGATATATCACGCGGTCAAGCGATGCGCGCGGTGTGGTTCGTGGCTGTGCGCCGCCCGATGAGGTCGAGGATTGCCGCGGGAGGATTCCTCATCCTGCCAGTGCGCGATGCGTTCTCGTGAAGATGCTGGCGTGTGCGGTGTGCTGCTGATGCGCGCTGGTTTGTTTTTGTGTGTTTTTATTTGGGGGGAGGGGGGGGTTAAGAACAACGAGAACACAGCAAGCTCGTCTACACGTAGGCTAAACGTACTCCTTATTTTTGTAACGGCGGCTGAATGGACTGGTATGGGCCCGATTCGTGGCAGTTGCTGTGGAAATCGAGGACCAAACTGTCTTGTTCAGGGCGTCATATCCTGCTTGCAAATCTGATTTTACCTCCACAAGAACATTTTTGGTACCAAGTGTGGTTTGGTGTTTTGATATGAGTGTTAACAGAAGGCGGAGTGGAGGTAGCGCATTGATATAATTGTTAACGGAGGGGGGAGGGGGGGGGGGGGTCTCCCGGGCGACTTTATGACGGGGCGTGCATCGCTCGTCTGGTGATGTCAGTACGTTGGGCTGCTTTTTTTCTTTTGTTTCAGTGATTCACTCGATCCGTGCGTTTGTGTTCAAGTCCTCTAAGCGCAGGTTCTTTTGGGGGGACAAAAAGAAGAGCTTTTGATGAATCGGAGAGCGAGAGTCTAAGGCTGGCGGCAGTGGCAAGATAAGGGGGGGAAGGAAGTAACGGCGTTCGAGATGAAAGATGCCCGCAGTTTTGTGATTGACCAAGTTTTTTTAAACTTTCTGATTGGCCAAAAATCCCTGGTCGACATGTCGTGTCATCTACGGCGGGGTCACTTTGTTGTCGAAAAATCAAAACCAATTCGCTCGTGAAAAGCAGCTTCTCTTATATGCTCGAGTGTGACTGCCTTCTTTGCCCCGCCGTATGCCGAGCGTCAACAAACCGATGCTCTCGGTGCCTACGCTCCTTGAAGCACGACGCTAACGTAACTGGGGCCCCGCTGCTGTACTATTAGGGAAGGGGGCGGTGCGCCGAGACTTGGCTGGCCTACATACATACATAGAGTATAAATTGGAACGATTTCGTCGCTATTTTTAGTTCTGCCATTTTGTTACCACGTGCGATGGTGTTTGGCTGGGCAGCACAACAGTTCACGTGGGGCTTGATCCCGGTTGAGGCTCTGTTCTCTTCGTGACAGACACCCTTGCCGACGTTTTGATGGTCGAGGTAGGACCTGCCGCGTGCTGAAACCTCGATCATAGCAGCCGCTACCCGAGGTTGTAAGATCTCCATTGCCCTCTCCGGCAAACGTCAGAGGACGTCGTGCGGTGTTACCGCGACCCGAAGAAAACCACCCGTGCGTTAGTTTCCCCGCCGCTCTGTGGCTTGAGGGCCACACTGGTTTCTCCTCTGGTAATCCGAATCGTTGTCACAATTAACTCTCTCCAGCGACCGTTAAAATCCTGTGTACCCCACCTCGAAATCGCGTCCGTTGTTGTCCTCTCTTCTAGATAGTTCTGTACTCATTTCTTCACTGCCTGCTTTCCACCTAAACATGTGAGCCAAAAGCCTTCGTTTACCACACGTTTCATCTTCTCTTCGGCCCCTTTCGTCACGGCGGCACTCTCTTCCCCTGGCCGTCTGGATCCGAGATCCTACTAGCGCATACTCCGTTCCCTCCTTCCTTCCTCCCTTCCTTCCTTCCTTCCTTCCTTCCTTCCTTCCTCCCTTCCTTCCTTCCTTCCTTCCTTCTTTCCTTCCACACGGCGGCACTCTCTTCCCCTGGCCGTCTGGATCCGAGATCCTACTAGCGCATACTCCCTTCCCTCCTTCCTTCCTTCCTTCCTTCCACTTCCCGCACAGAAGCAACAAAATAACACTGCTGTACACACGTACACACTTTTCATTGGTCAGCCGGTTAGCGCGGGCGATGCTAAATTTACTAATATAAGCACACACGAGACGCACACACACGCGGTCGAAAAAAGACACACGCACAGCTTTCCACCGCACCGAGACTGACGTCTTTTCATGGGACAGCCGGTTAGCGCGGTGGATGCTAACAAAAAGACACACACACAGACAACCGGTACCAACGACATACTTGCAAGTACGAGACAGCGAGGGGCGGGCGAGACACCCTTCCTCCTTCGGGACAACATGGCATGTCAGGCCACCTTCAGATAGATCCAGGTTGCGTGACCCCCTTCCGGACCGGCTGCCGCGGTCAGGTGAGGTGAGCCTGCACGCACACCTGACGGTACATTACGAAACACGCTTGAAACGACTCTACAATCAACTAGTCTATACCTTCAGCAGGCTTTTCACCCCTTCCCGTACGTCCGCCGAATTTCGTACGTGTGCTCCAAAAAACCTTGGTCAGAAACAACACAAAAACTGAGGGGTTCCAGACGATTCCACCACATAGGGTACCCCGGGAACGAATGATAACTTTGACCTATGTACAATAATGCAGAATTGCCCTAGAAGGGGCATGAAAAGAAGACAGAAATTTGATATTGTACATGACATCCATCCACGAAACGGCAAATAGATTCTAATGAAATTCGCATACTGCATTCATCTGTCCAATTCGCAAAACTCAATCGAAGCGTCCTGCTTCAAGAACAAATCACTCAGAACACGCGAAACACCCACAGGCACCAGCGGGGAACACAAAACACACTGTTTGCGAGCGCAGATACACATGAGATAGGACTTGCCAGCCTCGTAGACCATAAATCAAACCCGTTGCCAAAAACCCCGCCGCACGCAACACCCGTATAAGGTACTGAAGGACACATCCAAAAGCCATCTTTAGATAGGTCGACAAAGCCACCCTTTTCTTTCGTCTCTCGCCAGAGCACGCTACTACACTTTCCTGGAGATCACGCCCCGCGGCCGGTCCTCCGTCCTTCCACCACCTACTACGCACGGCCTCGCTTCTCGAGCTTGCGCACGCAGCGGAGGACCTGCCACCGGTACAACATGTTGGCTCGGCTCCTCGCCGAAAGCCTGCGTCAAAGACATCACATCGCATCACATGACATCAGATTCACGTGACATCACATCACATGGCGTGATACCGCATCAAACGATATCACATCACATCACATCGCATCGCATCGCACCGCATCGCATCGCATCGCATTACGTGGCATGACATGACGTCACACGACATCGCATCACATAACATCACCACTACATCATATCACCAAACATGACATCATATCACCCCCGGTACTGGGCGGGAAACCAGGGCGGACGGCAAGAAATTTCCAGCCCGCTGTAGTCCCGAAGGATGAATCATGACGGCTGAGCCTTCTTCGTTGAGAACAAACCGGGGGGGGGGGGGGGGGGGGGGGGTTTCCCCCCCCCCCAAAAAAAAAAACCCCCAAAAACCCGGGGAAAACCCCAAAAAAACCCCCAAGGGGGGGGGGCCCCCAAAAAAAACCCCAAAATTTAAGGGGCCAAAAAAACCCTAAACCCTTTGGGGCCCAAGGGCCGGAAAAATTTTCCCCCCCCCCCCCCGGGGCTTGTTTAAAAAGGCCAAAAAAAAAAACCCCGCGAAACTTTTGGGGATTTTTGGGGCTAAAAACCCTTTGGCCGGGCTTTTCCAAAAAGGGTTTTTGCTAAAAAACAAGGGGAACTTTTCGGAAGGGGGCCCAAATCCCTTCCCGAAGGGGGGAAAAAGGTTGAAAACCCCCCCCTTGGGGGACCCCAATTTTTCCCAAAACCCCCCCACCCCCCCCC